CCTGAATAAAATGAGTTTGAACATTGTTGGAAACATTTAGGATAATGTAAGAACACAACTCAACCTGGTCAGTTAGGTCTAGAGTTTATAGAGATTTGAATGCAGAACGGTTTCATATTATAGCTTTAACACACAGCGCTCTCTCTCTGTTTCAGGTGGTGGGCGGCCTGGATTATCCATGCTTTTGAGGCCTTTGTTGCATTGAGGATGTGCAGGTAAGAATGACAAGAACCCTGTTGTCCACTAGATGGTGCTGCAACCAACCCTTTTACAAATCGGTTTACTTCAACATCTATTATGAAAGCGGGCCTCCTCAAAAGTTTAATTTCTCCCAAAAGCCTCAAAGCTCACCCACTGTACATTAGAAACAGGCCGTCACAGTTTATTTAAGGCTTTGTATTTCACTTAGAATAGTCTGTAGGAAGTCAGGTTTTAAGGCTTAAGTGGGAAATGGTGCTAAGTTAAAGACAGTGAGGATGAGCAGCCACTGTTTGGACACAATAAAGCAGCTGCTGGCTTTGACTTGTGCTCATTGTTTCCTCTGTGTGGCCCTGCAGTGACAAAGGTATCAGCAGCGCCGCCACTCGCTGCATGTGGTTCGGCCAGACCTTTCTGTTTGGCTTCGCTTCCCTCGGCCTGCTCCTCAAGTACGACCCCGAGCGCCCCAAACAGCACTGACACCGGCAGGAGCAAGAAGCCCAACGAAGAACATGGTGCGGGCCGAACCCAGGAACTCAATCGCTTCCTTGTGCCTCTTCTTCTTCTTCCACTGTCACCTGAGCCTTTTCTGTGAACGCTACACTACACATTGTCTTAAATCCATTTCATTCCATAGATTTTCTATTAATAAACCACAGGTTACCTTTTATAAATAATATTATAGAGTTTTTATTGATAATAGAATTAACAGAAATGATTTGAGCACCAGAGTTCCCTTGATGAATCCGCTCTGGGCCGAGTATTAACTCCAATAGAGAGTGAATCTTTTCTGGAGTTGTTTAGGACTCTCATGATGTTTACAATCAGCCTGGCTGATGGCGGTGGGGATATTCTCTCAGCTGCTGTGATGAACATACCGTCAGACAGGTTGGCTGCAGATGGTCCGCCACCACCAGCCTCCAACGCTCTCCAGGATAAAAATAAAGAGCGCTGCTGTGTGCATTTTAAATTCACATTTGCCTTTCTTATACTGAAGTGCTTTGAATTTTAAACTAGACTGGAAGTTCTTAACATTTATGCTGCAAAATAAAGAGTGACTTACAAACTGCATGAAATGTGTCTTGCTGATTTTTCTTCCTCTGAAGATGCTTTTTATATATAGAAAACTTTATCTTATATATTATTGAATATTACTGAAGAATTCACTCAAAACCTGTTCAAAGTTAAGAGTCTACAGCCATGCTAGCTTAACACTGGCTGTGTGGAGACTGTATTTAGGCACAACAGTACTTTGAGCTAAATGCTAACAACAGCATGCTAACAATTTCAATGTTAACACTGATATATTAACCATATTCACCATTTTAGTTTAGCATGTTAGCTTGTTCACATTCGCTAATTAACATTTAAAGGACCAGCGTGTAGGATTGTTGGAAATGTTTCATATTATATCTTTAAAGGACATAACGTCACCCAACTTATAAATCACATATCTGAACGTTGTTTAATCACAGACTTCCCGCAGGAGAAGGTGTTGGTGTCTCACAGGTAAACAGTGTGACGTGGCCCGAATGAGGCTGAACCACGGGGTCACCGTGTCCTCTGCTTATGAACTTAAGAGCATTAGCCCGTCTTAAACAGCTCCACTAGAGCTGTCTCCAGCCATTAATCGGGGATGGATGACACAGAAACAACTTACTTTCACATCCTGCCTCACCTTTACTCTTGAGAAATTACACCAACCATCACAAGAGACAAGTAGAGGAACACATTTGAACCAGAAAAGGTCACAGAATTTGTATTTATTTGGAGAACACTTAAGTTGGATTGACTCTACCATCTCAGACAGTATAAATACAGAAATATATACAACAGTTTAAAAACAATATGGATGGAAAAATACATCTTTGTGCTGTTAGGGAGCCGTAGTGTGTATGATTCATACTCTGGTAAACTATATAGTCGTCTTCTTAATGCAGCCTAACCACTTTACTGTAATTACAGGGTGCAATGATTAAAGAACAATAGCAGCATAAGCGGTAGAAGTAATATGAATAGTATTTGCTCTATAATCTCAAGGCTTTTTCTGTATACACTTAGGTTTGCTTGTCTTAATGAGATTCCTATAACATATAGAGTTCATATATATCATAGTATTGTATGTTACAGGATGTGTTTGCACGTCAGCTCAGATTTTATGAATATGTCATTTCCTCTTCTTCATTAGTTTTTCTATTATAAATGTAGTTTGTGTTCAGGTAGTGATCACCGGTCCAGCCAGCATATAGAGGGGTAGCGCTCGCTCAGTGTCTTGCGTAGCTGAGCGCTCTGTGTCTTATCCCTGGTTTCCACCACACACTCCACCTGTTTTCACACAGACACACAGTTAGCCTATCTCTGACATCACACACACACACACATAAGAATTAGGGCAGCGAGCGGGTTGCAGGTTAATTATGCAACACCTTTAACCCTTTGACAGTACGGTGGCGGTTTGTCAGTGTAGGCGGCGACAGTGCAGATCCAGCAGATAATGGGACAATAGCAATAGCAAGACACTAATCAAAACATACCTGTGA